GGCGGCAGGGGCATGTACGGCCCGCGTATAGCGATCGAGGAGAATGATACGGACGGCGCCATCATGTGTGGATGGCACAGAGATGTATCAGGAGGCACACATAGAGGCACCCAGTCTCTATAAGCTCCCACAGAGCCGCCGATACAGTGATGCCGCGAGCATGGGTGCGTGTGGGGGTAGTAGTACATATGTGGGTACGTGCGTGGGTGCTTGCGAGGGTACATACACGTGGGTACGTGCGTGGGTGCGTGCGTGGGTACATGCGTGGGTGCATGCATGGACGCGTGCGTGGGTACGTGCGTGGGTTCATGCGTGGGTGCATGCGTGGGTACATGCGTGGGTGAGTGTGTGGGTGCGTGCGTGGGTGCATGCGCTGGTGCGTGCGTGGGTGCATGCGTGCCTGAGTACATGCGTGAGTGCATGCGTGGATGCGTGCGTGGGTGCATGCGTGGGTACATACGTGGATGCGTGCGTGGATGCGTTCATGGGTACATGCGTGCGTGGGTACGTGCGTGGGTGCATGCATGGGTGCGTGCGTGGATGCATGCGTGGGTACATGCGTGGGTGCGTGCGTGGGTGCATGGGTGGGTGCATGCGTGGATGCATGCGTGCGTGGGTACGTGCGTGGGTGCATGCATGGGTGCGTGCGTGGATGCATGCGTGGGTACATGCGTGGGTGCGTGCGTGGGTGCATGGGTGGGTGCATGCGTGGATGCATGCGTGCGTGGGTACGTGCGTGGGTGCATGCATGGGTGCGTGCGTGGATGCATGCGTGGGTACATGCGTGGGTGCGTGCGTGGGTGCATGGGTGGGTGCATGCGTGGATGCATGCGTGCGTGGGTACGTGCGTGGGTGCATGCATGGGTGCGTGCGTGGATGCATGCGTGGGTACATGCGTGGGTGCGTGCGTGGGTGCATGGGTGGGTGCATGCGTGGATGCATGCGTGCGTGGGTACGTGCGTGGGTGCATGCGTGGGTGCGTGCGTGGGTGCATGCGTGGGTGCATGCGTGGGTGCGTGCGTGGGTGCATGCGTGGGTGCGTGCGTGGGTGCATGCGTGGGTACATGCGTGGGTG